GAGAAGAGAGTGAGAGAGAGAGAGAGAGAGAGAAAGAGAGTCATCTTCGTCGTCGTGTGATTCCTCTAGTCCTGTCTCACCGTAGTGTGCTCTTGATATGACGACGAAACTATAAAGGTACGACGGTGTGTTGTGTCGATGGGCCCGAGGTCGTCGGCGTCGGCCCCCGACGATTACAAACAAAGTGTTTTCGATTTTCGCGGGATAAGCGAGAAGGAGGAAAGGAAAAGAGACGGAGAGATTGATTGTACCTTTGTTGCACGGCTGTTGATAAAGTTTGATACTGTGAAAAAAAGGAACAAAATTATCGGTTTTACGATTGCACCCTGTGTCTTGACCTTCCGTTTCGCTCATACATTTGTTTTTCTCGCGTCAATGATTACTATTTACATTCTTACTCTGCCTTTCCATTAGGTTTTCATTTATATTTTCACTTCTTTCCAAATATGTATTTTATTGGTTATGATGACTCTCTGTTATTGCATACATTATAAGTAATGGAGAGAGATGCTTAAATAGCATTGTATACAGCACTGTGCAGTGAGTTCTAATGGTGAATTGTTTTTTTATGTCTGTTTAGTGTATTGCAGCGATAAATAAGAACAGTATAGCCATTGGGCTATGGCCAATTTGAATTTTGAGCAGCCACCAAGAAGTATTGCTAATGCTAGTGTAGCAACGCGTGGAGGCAACAGTGGGAGTAGTTTAAATTCCTCGACCCTTGCGGGTCATGTCACTCCCACGTCCGGTATGTTCTCGGGCTCATCCTCGAGCACTTCTGGTGCAGGAAACTCTGCGGTTGTCGGGCCAAATTTATCGTATCATCCAGGAGGGACAGCTACGGGCGTGGGTGGCACGCAGCCAACCTCGAATCATCAATCGCAGCAGCAACAACAGCAACAGCAGCAGCAACAACAACAGCAGCAGCAACAACAACAACAACAACAACAACAGCAGCTTTCTCCTATGAATAGTAGAGGCCTATTCGGTCAGAGAGCTTTCACTGGTGATAGGCGTAATATGCCAACTCTAGGGTAAGTCGTTTACTTTAATTTATGAGCTATGCCAAAAGATGTTATACTCTTGAATACAACTTTTGCATAATATTAAACAAGATGATAAAACAAATGTAGAAAAATTCCATTATTAAGCTCCAATTTGGAAAGATTTCATCATTAATTTAAACTTATTTATTTGACTGCAATATCATACACAATCTATCTTTACTTTCCAAAATTAATGTTTACATATGTTTATGTATGTAGGTGTGTGTGTGTGTGTGTGTGTGTGTGTGTATACATATATACATATAAAACAAACACAATTTTGAATTTGAGAATGTAAATAAGAATGTAAATATTTTTCTAAAGTATATCGTGTCTAGGCTATAATATAAATATCATAAAATGCACACGCAATCATTAATTGATATTTGAAATTATTAAAAAGAAGCTGTAAGCAGTGATAAATCGGTCAGCGAATCATTGTGTAAATATCGTATTACCAATATTGTATTTAAGATATTGATTCAATTTCATGCCTATTTTGCACATTCGCTACGTAAATTACTACAGCATTGAAATAAAATTTGTCTTTGGAACGCTCTCACAAGCATTGTTATTGTTTTTAGAAATACTAATCCAATGGGTGGTATGAGCGGTTTTGGAATCCCACAGAATCGTAACTACGGATCTCAAGGTACTATAAACAATTTTCATTCGGCATTTGGTAGCGGCACGAGTGCTGGTGGAGGAGGAGACACGAGTACACCTCCGCTATTGGATTTGTCAGAATTTCCTTCTTTAACTAACCGGGGACAAGGTGATTCCTCTATGCCCCAGCCTAGTACCATGCCAGGCAAGCAACCATATGGTACGTAGGCATATTTTTACAACGTGTATCTCAATATCGAGCATAATGTTGGTAACGGTTGAGTGGACAAAACTTGAATTAATTATGTGTAAGTCCTTGGAAGAAATAAATGAGCATAATATAATAGTTTGTCGACGAATTACGAAAGTTTGGATTAACATTGGATTTGACATATAAGAAATGAAAGAGTTTTATGCTTAGAGCTCGAAATTGACAACCGCCATTAGTTAATTAAGTAAGCGAACTTGGTAGGAAATGTAAATATTGCCGACATTTGTGCAGTTGGAATGGTGAAACAGCCAACATCCGAGGCGAGCGAGTTCACGATGAGTTCGGAAGATTTTCCCGCGTTACCTGGAACACAAAGTAGAGACGGGCCATCGCCGGGAGGGAGCGTTATGCCCGGTGAGAAGGGATTATCCGTTGGTTTGGGTCCTGAGCTCAGTCCAGATGTATTACAAGCTAACAGGACGTCCAATTCCGACAAGTCACAGTCGACCAAAAAGGGCATTCAAACGTCACCAGATGGTTCGTTTCCTTATCGCTATTGGATTAAGTGCTAATACTCGAGTGGCCGCGCTTGATAATCCGCGAATTACCTCGCCCTGTAAATGTAAAAGAATGTGAAATTTTTCACTGATTGGATTGTTTGGCATGGAGCGCGAAAAGCGCGTTTAATGTATCGTCCAACGCCACCAATCTAAGGTTAAATTTATCTCGCTTTTCTTATTTTATAGGCAAAGTGACGAATATACCGGCAAGTATGGTGAAAGATCAGTTCGGAATGGTTGGCTTACTAACGTTTATCCGAGCAGCTGAAACGGATCCAAATCTCGTGACGTTAGCGTTAGGCCAAGATCTCACAGCGCTTGGCCTCAATCTCAATTCACCGGAGAACCTTTATCAAAATTTCGGCGGCCCCTGGGCAGAAACGCCCTGTCGACCGCAAGACATAGACTTTCACGTTCCACCAGAGTACCTTATTAATGCTTCCATCAGGTGATTATACGAGGTGGTGGTGGTGGTGGTGGTGGTGGTGGTGGTAGTGGTGGTGGGTGAGGCGACGCGACGCGACGCACTGTTACAACAATCACTAACAACATTAAAAATCCTCCTCGTTCATATTTCAGAGATAAGCTGGCGCCTGTAAAGTTAAATCGATATAAAGACGATCTCTTGTTTTACATGTTTTACACGAATGTTGGGGATGTGTTGCAATTGGCAGCGGCAGCGGAACTGTGAGTATTTTTTTGTCGTAGCAGGAAGGAGAGGCAGGCCTCGTTTTCCCATTGCTCGTTCTTAGTATCGATTAACGGCTCGATTAACGGCTCGATTAACGGCTCGATTAACGACTCGATTAACGGCTCGATTAGCCGTTTACGAGGATGGCGCATACGATCAGTCGAGAGAAATAACTTGGACATTTTTTTGGCCATCGTTAAGAATTAAGGATCGTAAAGATTCGATATTGGTTCGATATTGGTTCGATATTGGTTCGATATCTTGGCTCTCGCCCATAACGCTGACCCATAAAGCCTCGGTGCCGTCAATCGATCGCCAATCGATCGCGGGGAACGAGCAATTATGCCGTTGGAGGCGCGCGGCGCGATTAAGGAAGGGTACCCGATTTAAGGCGGCTCGTATTCTGCTTTTGACACAGGTATACACGGGAGTGGCGGTACCACATGGAGGAGAAGGTGTGGATAACGCAGGCGCCGGGCCTCGGGCTCGTCGAGAAGACCTCGACGTACGAGCGCGGTACTTACTACTACTTCGACGCGCAGAACTGGCGCAAGGTCGCGAAGGAATTCCATCTTGACTACACGAAGCTCGAGGGCAGACCTCACCTGCCGAACACCTTCCATCAGAACCAGCCTTGACCGGGGCCGTCCTCGACGCCTCCTCCGCTGCCCCCGGCGCAGCCGCCCTCGCCCATCTCCGCTCACGCGACACGGTGAATCGCCCTCGCAGGGCGCCGTCGTAGAGCCGTGCCGCGGCTGTCGCGGCCCCGAGTCCACGGAGGCTGCTGACCGAGAAGCATGAAGATGAACGCGGGGCAACGGCTGCTCGCCAGGGAGAGGAGCGCACGCGTACAACACACATACCACATCACACCACATTAACGGGAAAAAGAAATATAAAACACGGTCACTGCGCTGTTGGTATTTTCATGATCTGTGCCCCTGCCAAGGGCTGGGAGATGTCTTGTGCTATCGTGCTGCTACGTTTTACCAAAAGCCCGGAAAGCAACTGAGCCATTGTATAAATGAATAAATTTAACAATCTTTAATAAAACGATGAGAAATTCACGGGGCTATGCTCAAGATATTGTTGAGAGACCCTTTAAAAATATTATTGCTATATCGCTCGGCATTTACATTGTGTACAAAAGAGGATATTATTCACAAATCGAACGTAAGGATTCTGTTTTATTTTATTTTATTTTTTTTTTTGTTTTTTGTTTTTTTTCGCATATACCGCGTTTACTTTGTCAAACTACTTGTATCATCCATGGCCTTCATTAACTATTATTATCATCATTATTATTATTATTATTATTATTATTATTATTATTATTGAAATTAATCCTTTTTTTAACAAAATTTTTTTTTTTAAATTTTATTATTATTATTATTATTTTTTTTTTAATTTTTTTTTAATTAATTATTATTATTATTATTGTGTTGTATTTTACTATTTACAAGTAAACAAAGAAAGAAATGATGTTTAGTGAGGAAAATTGAAAGTATTAGCAAGGACTTTATTTGTTGTTTTTCACCTCTGGCGCTCGGTTCTCGCCGATCCGTCTCTTCACTAATGCAACCGATTTTCTCTCACGTTTCTCATTCTTCGTTGACGTAACACAAGTGGACGCAAGTATCGCCGAATGTTATTAACGTCGCCCAAGCCCTCGTCACCAAAGGCGCGCACACACACACACGTATGTCGCTTCAACGTTCGTGGTCAAGGCAGTGGCAGTGATAGGGGCACGCATTATCGTTGGTGTTTAAACAGACTACCTTCTCTCATTAATCATATGTGTTTTCTTTTCTCTCTCTCTCTCTCTCTCTCTCTCTCTCTCATTTTATTGCTAAATTCCTCCAAAAACACCTTCGTTTAACAATTTCGTTACCATAAATTTGTCCGTATACTTTCGACCGTTTCAAAATTAACAATTTCTAATTAAGTACTTCAATTGCCCTTATCTTTTATTAGATTTTTGTATTATTGTTTTTTCTCCCCCCCCCCCAATGCTATTCCGATATATGCAATCAAAGTCGTCAAGATATTTAAACTCTTAGAATCAATGAAAAGTTAAGTAATATTTCATCTTACACGTGTGATATTGTACAGTACGCGATGCTGTAAGTGATATTTCAAAGTGAATTCATCGTAGACTTGCTATACATTACATTTTACCTTCTTAATTTTATTATTTATTTATTGTTAACAGAGTAAATTTACAGAACAATTCGAAACGAATAAGCGGGTTGCGTGATACTTTTTTGCTTGTTTTCCTTCCTTTTTTTTTTTTATTTTTTTTTTATTATTATTTTTTAAAAAAAATTTTTTTTTTAATCTTTATAATTTAGGCAAAAATGTATTTACAATAATATACACCGACTTTATCATCTCCAGACATACATATAATTTGAAAATTTGAAAGTATAGATTAAAAAAAACATTGGGCTACTTCATTATAACACATTAAACACATTTTTTTGGTAAAGGCATATGCCGTTCGCATATACCGCGTTTACTTTGTCAAACTACTTGTATCATCCATGGCCTTCATTAACTATTATTATCATCATTATTATTATTATTATTATTATTATTATTATTATTATTATTATTATTATTATTACGATTAGCATTATTAGAACTATTATTATAATTATTGTAATTTTTTTTTTTTTTTTTTTTTTTTTTTTTTTTTTTATCATCATCATTATTACTATCATCATTTCTATTCGAAGATCTTAATCTATTAGTCAACTTAAATAGGGTCAAGAAATAAAAAAAGGTTTACTACGATAAAATACCTCGAAAATTTTTGTCTGTACATTTACTTCGTTTTATAAATTAAATACATATTTATACGATATTCCGTAATAGAAGTGTTTGAATCGGACATCATTAATGCATAGCTATTAATATTCTTAATTTTAATTTAGAAATAACGTACAATGGAGTACAACGTAAACAAACGTAAGACATAGAATTAAAATACGTTTCTAATCAGTGCACGTATTTTTAAGAAATTAAAAAGAGAATCTTTTCACAATTTGTATAGTGTTGTTGAAAAAGTGTAAAATATATAATTTATTACATTATAATTATTACGTGACATTTTGTTGCAATGGCGATACCTTAACGAGGAAATATCAAGGTTTCGTATGAAAATAAATAAATTGAAAATGCAGCGACGACACGACGAGTGCCTGCTGGCTTCGACCAATTCGAGCAAGCACAATTAAAAGAATCACGACAATAGTGATGAGATTGACGGGCTTTTTGAGATCCGAGAGCTTTTATTACTTTGAGTTGGCTACGCACGAACGCTCATACGCCCGGCCGTCCATTGAGCAATTTATGATCGAAGAGCGACGCGTTAACCGGGCGAATCGACCAAGGCTGCCACGATCATCCGTAGCTTATGGTGTAGCCCATGGAGAGCAGGAGAGTCTCCTTAATGGCCGGATGGAGCTGCTTCTCGATGTAGTGGGTGATTGCTTGGCTAGCGCTTCTCAGGAACACGTCCTCCATCTCGCGGGCGATGTCACCGCGCGAACGCCACAGGGAGTCCAGAAGGGCGTCGTTGGCTGAGCCGAAAATCGGGTCCAGGGAGGCGCCCAGTCGGTTCTCCTCCTCCGTCGGCTCCTCGCTCTCGAACGCCGAGGAGTTTGACACGATGTTGGAGTCGCTGCTCGTCTGTCATATTTATGAAATCACGTTTAACGAGATATTGCCACATCGGCCCTCTCTTTCTTCAGCTTCGAGCGAGCGTAGTTACGGCAATTAAGGGATGAAATTGGGGTAGGAACTGTAGCGTCACGGGAGGGGGAGAAGCGACGCGTCCATGGTCACGGGTAGTCGATCGAAGGAAGGATTTGAACTTGCGTGTATTGGGTGGTTGTGATTGCGCATTCCGTTAAAATTTCGCATAGAAACCCGAACTGGCCGACACAATATAGTCCGAGCACATTGTAATGAACAATTTTATTTTAGAGCATATTGATTATATCGACTTTGTCGAGTAAACATTTCTACCGACCGCGCCTCCATTAGTTATAATTCGTTGGAACCAATACATCGACTTGCCGAAGCCCAAAGTCACTCAGATTCGTCTTGATTGAAGATTGTAACTACGATTTACTGCACAAAGTTTCAAATTAAAATAATTATAAGCATCTTTAAACATACCAATTAAATAATTGCCGGATTATATGCTGAAAAATTTAATGCCATCGTATTACTAATAGAAAATTGATTAATTCATGAATCGGCAACTGAGATCGTTATTGCATACTCGTTCAATGAATAACACTTGTAATTAGAAATTTGTCGTTTTCATAAGTTTCCGTAATGACATTGCTTACAATGATAATTAAAAACAAAGATACATAGACAGGGAGAATGAGAGTGAGAGAGAAATTTTTTACAAACTTGCAGAACATCTTTGTTTCAATGTTAAATATACTAGTGAAATAATTGTATTTTAAAATTTTGTTCGTCAGATTGATCATTAATGAAATTTGTATTTTTTAATTTTTATTTTTTATTTTTTTTTTTTTTTTTTTTTTTTTTTTTTTTTAATTTACAATCAATATAAATTAAATTCTAACAAAAACATCGACGTACTTCGTAAAAATATCAAAATATATTTACGATGGCTTCGATATTTCATTACCTTAAAGGCTTTTCGTATATTATAATTCATCCGTTTAATATAGTTATTTATTTAAAGTATTGAAAGCAATTGAAGAACTGACAAAATATCTGTCGAAATACCTATAGAATGTTTAATATTATAAATAATAAAAAAAAAAAAAAAAAAAAAAAAAAAAAAAAAAAAAAAAAAAAAAAAAAAAAAAAAAAAAAAAAAAAAAATAATTTCATAATTCTACATTTCTACCAAAGATTGTTTACGGATGTGCGTAATTAAAACGTACACGGATTACTAACAATTATGCAATTACGTATTTCAATTTCCTCGTAAAAATATGATTAAATTCCAATCGTTTCAAACAACACGATTGATAAAAGTTGCTTTCGCAAAACCGAGCACACACACACATACACACACACACACACAAAAATCATAAAATCCAACTTATTTGCAAGCAATGGTAATAATTATTACATCTGAAATTTCATGAGCATATGTTGCACCAGGCAAGCGAGAATAATAATAATAATAATTAAAAATTAATATTTCAAGAGTTTAAAAAATATTTTACGTCAGAATTCTATGTTATTTTCTCTAGATGTGTATATACTCGCATTTTTGCATTAAGTTTTTTCCAAAAAAAAAACTAATAAAAATTATTCTTACTAAATATTTTTTCAATTATTAGCTGTAAGATCGTTATTCATTGTTTTGTACATTTGTAATAAAACAATTTTATGAAAATACTTGAAAAAACTCGAAGTTTTTTGAATAGCAGATATCTTTGAGAAAGAATTTAAAGAATAAAATGAATTCATTCTGCTCACTACTGTGTATCCAAAGAAAAGTAATGAATATTTAAATCAAAGTTTTTTCAAATGAAATTATTTCAGTATAATACGTGCATATAGTATTTTAATCGCCGCGCAGAACTGTATGAAATGTATATATCAACATTAAAGGCCGAAGAAAATTTTTTCCTGAATAAAAATGAAATAAAATCTTAATACTTATTCATTTTGCATTTATTTTAAATCACTCTCAATCCTAATTTTACTAAATTAATACCAATTAACGATTATTAAATTTTTTTTTTTTTTTGTTTTTTTATTTTATCCATCCCTCACCCTCGACACTCTTAAGCCTGGAATAATAAACTATCATTCAAGCGTGTAAATTACTTAGGTAAATTAAGCCGATGCGAAAGCTGTTGGATGTTAAATAAAAAAAAATTAAGTGTCAAATTAAAAATTAAGACTGAAAACCATTGGCTAATATGACCTTAATAATAATTCGTATAAAGTAAATGCGTATCCCTCTATGTTCTCGCTTAAGAGAAAGTAAATAAATAAAACACTTTCAAGTAAAATATCCGACAAATATCCGACAAATCTCCATTGCCATCCTTCCTAAATACCGTATTCTCTTTGCCATTATCATGCAACATTCTCCAGCGAATTGAGAAATTAAAATAATACAAAAGTGTAATTACATCTACAGTCTTTGCGAGAATTGTTAACCACCGAGGAAGAGAAACATAAATCTACAGCGAAATATATAGAATTTTCTGAAAATTATCATTCAACGCGGCTCGACTTGCAAACTAAAGTCCCGAACACACTAAACGAATAATGAAACATTTTGTACATCTAACTAGCTGTGGTTTTGCACGAATAACTGTAACGATAATCTCCCAATAAACGATCGACGGAATTTCCATTTGAGGCCTCGAATCTCTTATCCTTTGCATTAATCAATGACAACCGAGTGACGCTCGGCTCAAGTGGCTCATCTACGAGTTGCATCGATTAAACCCGAGTGTGGACTAATTGCTTAGGTCTCGGGTTAATCTCAACGCGCCTATCGCACCAGCATCATTCGCTCGAAAAAAAGTAAAAGGAACGTCAGCACCGGGTGCGCGCTATGAGATAGATTCGCAAGGACGATACCTACCCATTGCCGTTGTTTCTGCTGCTGCTGCTGCTGCTGCTGCTGCTGCTGAAGATGGTCCGATGAGTCGTCGTTGGCTGGTCCGCGCTCCCTCGGCTCGGACGACTCGACGACATTACGGTCGTGGCTGGGCGGGGACGTCGCAAGAGCCCTGCACCCGTAAGCATAGATCGAGGCGAAGCGGGGCTCGAGGAAGCTCGACTCCGTGCGAACGCGCATCTGTCCGCGGCCCCGCGCTATCGGGCTCGCGTAGAACTCCATGCCGGCGCGTCTCAGCCGCAGACTCACTCGGCACGATTCGGCGGGCAGCCGGACCTTCTTCGGCCCGGCCCCGTATGCCATAAGGAGCTCCACCAGGCCACTCACAGCGAGCTCCTTAAAGCCCACGCGGCTCCGGATCGAGCTCGTGCTCGGCTCGTAGGCGCACCGCTCGACCTTGGCCCAACTTGGCCCGTCCCGGATGCTCGACTGTGGGATCTGATGAGTCCAAGCCTCGTTACTCCTTCGTCCTTGTGTGTGTATTGGAAGGGGGGGGAGCTTTGGCTCGCTGCCACCTTGTCCGATCAGGCCCTACTCAATAATCGATCTTTGGCGCCCCGTGGTGACTGACGACTGACCGGTGCAATCGGTGCAGCACTTCCACTCCTCCAGACGAACGCTACACTGTCTTTGTTAGCAGTGGCATTGAGCTGCAGCGGTTTTTTTTTTTTTTTTTTTTTTTTTTTTTTTTTTTTTTTTTTTTTTTTTTTTTTTTTTTTTTTTTTTTTTATACTTTTTGTGCAAAGTGACGCGAGGCTAAGCCAAACGCAATGCCGGGGTGTGTCGGACGAGGCAGCCGCGCGTACAAGCGGTAAGGGGAGCATACGATACCTCGACCGAGAGTTTGGTGACGGAGACGTCGATGGGCGCGGAGCGGAGCCTTTGGTGATAGACGGCTCTCGGATCCTCGGCCTCGTGGCCTCGGCGGCTCGCGGCACCGCGCTGCTGCATCAAGCCGAGGGCGCGCTCGAGTCTGTCGCCGCAGCGACCGTCCACGCCAAGGATCAAGATCGAGCAGTAGAGGGCGAACGCCGCCAGCGACCACGGAAGCATTTTTCTCTTCCTCTCTCTCTTCTCCTGCACTTTTTCTTCTTCTTCTTCTTCTTCTTCTTCTTCTTCTTCTTCTTCTTCTTCTTCTTATTCTTATTCCCCTATCTGAAAAAGGGAGGGAGCATTGTAGAAAGCCCGAGTCCACCGTACGATGGCTCGCTCGCTCGCGAGGTGACATAACCCGATTACTCGAGCTTGTCACAGAGGGCCTACTGAGTGTGATTGGTCTCTCACGGCTTAGCGGTTAAGCGGTTGTCCCGATCGGCAGCTTCTCCAGGGTGCCTCGCCAATTAGCCTCTTCGGGATGCGAATGGTGCGAGCTCCGGGCGAGGACTGCGTCAACGTCGGGGCGGCGAATCGTTAACCCGGGCTTTCGCAAGTAGACTCGGTGGCGGAAGTGCCGGTCCGTGCTGGGGCCTCGCGCAAGCGTCTCCAGGATGCGTGGCATCCGCCCGGCGTGCGACTTTCGCCGCGAGCGCTCCGGCCTTTCGACACCCGCGCCGAGGGTCGTCGCGCCTCAGCGGCCCATTCCCCTGGACCAGTCGCGGCGCCTCACCTCCAACCGACACAACTGCAACAGATTCGACGCATCGGCTATTATTTGCCGACTCGCGGCTTTTTTTATCGCGAGGATCGCGACCCCGTCGAGCCTTCGCGACTCTACGCTTTATAGGGACAATCGCTAGATTAATCGCCGTAACCGCGAACTAATTACGATATAACCTCGGGGAGATTTTTTTTTCTTTGTTTTTGTATCTTACTGAGAAAACTTGGCACGGTTAGCGATGATTGCCGTACTTGTAGGTGCCCGATGTTTTATTTGTGCCAATGGCACAAGTGCCGTTTACAATGCGCGTGTGCATGGCGAGCAAAAACTTATCGTCACGTCCTGAATGAAGTTAACGTGTCGTTGCGAACCGTATGACCAAATACTATTGCGATTGGATCGTTTGTAGCGCGTATTTGTACTTCCTAGCCTATCTTTAAATTCTCTGTGTATGTGCGTGTGTCGGAGACAATGAGCAATTCAAATCGCGTCAAACAATTGCTGACATTTAATGGCAACGGCTTAGTCCTGGATAAGGAATTAAAAGCATTATCTGTCAATCGATCTATCTAATCTGTGTATCGGTGAAAGATGAGTTATTATTTTGAAATATTTAGAAAGGCCTGGCTGGCTGGCTTGCTTTTCTCAGTATTACATCTAGTTGATCGGCGCTAATAACGATGCGTGAAGAGATAATTAGAAGAAAAGAAAATCAGTAGCATGAAAATGAATGGCGAACTAGGATGAACGATATAAATTATGTATAATAATGGCAAAATAAATCATTAACAGGACTTTATGAGAGTACCTTACTTTCATCTATCGTTAACGAAAGGGGAAAAAAAAACAGTTTATAGACGATACAAGAAAATATTTAAACAATTGCTAAGCTCTTGCAGAACTTGATCGCTTTGATTAAACTTTTTCCAGAATCGATAAATTAAGTTCCAATCCGTATATTAATAACGATACACCTATTACACGCGTTTGTTTATCAAAACCTCGATTATTTTATTGGTAATTAATTAATATTCGCCATGAAGATAAGTAATAGCATTGACAGCAATACCGACGCAACTTTGATATATAAAATTCCCTTAACAATCATATTAAATGCCGTCATCGTTAAAAACTGTCTACTCATTTCCTATAATTTTTGTTAAATCAAACAAGGAAAACAAGCATAAATTACTAAATCGATAATCTATTTTATTTCTATTAAATACTATAATTGTAATATATCTATTTTATTCTATGACAATAGGCAAATCTTCATATAAACCATGTATATATTATTTATTGTTACGCGCAAAAACATTGATTTATTATCATTTATCACGACAATTTGCACTCGTAGTTATTCAAAATCCAATAAGACATTATTTTCTCCCAAGATGCACAATTGCACGATTCGCACTGTAAACAATGGCGCGCATTGTTTAATGAATATGCCTAGTACGATGAGGCTGATGGATAAAGAATGTAAGTATGATAAGTAACTCGAAGAACTAGGCAGAGACGGTAAATTAATAGAAAACGCAACAAATACCTGCAACACTATTGTTTCAAATATTGTAGATAATTATTATTGTAAACATTCTCCGTTATATGTTTTTTTTTTTTTTTTTTTTTTTTTTTTTTTTTTTTATATATTATAAAATAATAGTTGTCGAAGAAAGTCTTTTCTCATCTTTAAAGTCACGGAGTGCGAGATAGTTAAGATAGATAAATAATACCATTCGCATCTATTAACACAATACATACATCCCATAGTCGATCTTTATTCATAATAGCAAATTTTCTTTTCCATTACTTAACGCGTAACACTATGCGCAGGTTTTAATAACAGAGCTCGAAAATACAATAGCCGAAGCTGACCAATGCGACGAACGAAAATTATTTATCAAGAGCTGATAAAACGATAATATTGCCGGGGACTCACTTTTACACAGACGTTTGGCATTACAAGCTTTTGCCTTGCGCGTTCAATCTTCGATCTTATCTCAGCGGCCAAACTAACAAATATAGGCAAACCTAATTTTTCGAAGGAATTTTTCTTTTCCTCGCGGCAAGCCCGGCCAATTGTACGACAACCAGCGATTGAGAGAAAAGATGCTTAAAAGTAGTAAACAATCAGCAACATAATAATCGAACGAGATTGAAATTCAAAAAAGGAATCACTCAACAATATCAGAATTTCTTTTAAGGTGGCCCGTTAATATAAAAATTGCTGTTTTAACGAATTATAAGTTAATATCCGACATAACGCGCAACGGCTCGCAAATTTCCATCCGCGCAAGCCCAATTTCCTTCTCCCTTTTCCCAAAAACATTTCACTGACATCATTCCCACCAAGCTTCGACACTTTATACGTGTCCGCACAAGCCGAACAATCCCAAATGACTCATCCATCACATGGTAAATCAGCTTCAAATCAGCGTTTCTCCAATACTTTTCTCATAGCACTAACGAACAATCAAAGCCCCAGCCAACTCCCCTCGGTATTTCCTCGCAATACCGACCAACTCGTCGTTTTAGACGCCCGAATCCGAGGGCCGTGGATGACGGTCACCGGAGCAATATCGAACTAGAAAGTTGCGCTCGATCGATCGATCGGCGATCCCGAAGCAACGTGGGCCCGTCGCACCATAGGCGAGAATCGATCCTCCCCTCGTCTCTCGATAGACGGCGAGCGCGAATCGGCCGCTAAGTCGATTACCAGGTCGCCGAGTCTCCTCGGCCGCTGTCCGTGAAAATCTTGACTACCGCCGGGACTCTACTCTCCGCTACCAAGCTACTTTCTAATCGCCAAAGTCAGACAACGACGACGACGACGACGACGACGACGACGACGACGACGACGACGACGACGAGCGGCCTGGCGAAAGCAAAGCGGCCCGCGCACTCAACTGAACAACAATGAAAGTGGCGACCCGAGGCGAGAGTAGCAGCTGCCGCTCGTAGTCGCGACTCCTCGGCCATGGCCGTGAGCCCGGCGCCGCCGATCCTCTTACCGCTCCTCCTCCGCCACCACCCCACCCCCTCCCCCGTTAACGATGCTCCAATTCGTGCGGGCCCGAGAGCGAGCCGTAAGTAATTGCAACGCCGAGAGTAACGACGAGCCGCTCCGCGTCAAAGCACCAGTGACTCGCCCTCGCGATTCTCGAAGGCGAATCCCCCGAGGTACGGAGGATGCCAGCTCCTCGGCCGAAGCTCGGGAGCTTTATCGATATGGCGAGCTTTTTCAGCCGTCGGTGTAGCGTTCAGGAGTCATGCGTAGCGTTAGCTTCGAACGTCGTAGTCGCTTATTTGGCCAAGTCGCGATGAGTGACTCAAACTCGATCTTATAGAATCTTATTTCTAAATCCAATCGCTCACACGTTAGAGCAGCCCAATGTCCGATATATCGAAGAATCGCTGCTTCAGCATCCATCCCACGAGACGTAACGTCGCGATACAAAAAAAAAAAAAAAAAAAAAAAAAAAAATGATCGTTAACGTTCATACCATGCTGTAAAGCACTGGTTCTCGTCCGATCACCAAAGTTAAGCAGCATTGGGCGCGGTTAGTACTTGGATGGGTGACCGCTTGGGAACCCCGCGTAACGTTGACTTTTTGCCAACTTTTTCTTATTCTTTATTGTACAACTTTATCCATTTTTTCACGTTACGTTTTAAAAATCAAATATTCGGAAAGCATTAGTATAAATTTTATTATAATTTTTTTAGCAATTTTTTTTGGAAAAATGTCATACAGATGCCTTAAAATTTGATAAATATTTATAGTTGTGATCAATGGTATATATATATATATATATATATATATATATACCATTATATTATATATGTTACTTTAACATATATAACTTTAACATACATATTATATATGCTACATTATATATATATATATATATATATATATATGTAGAAGATTTTTTAATATTCATTTGCTACATTAGTTAAAGTAACATTATTGAGTTTATTAGTAATCAAAATATTCATATAGACAAGAATCACTTGTGCCTTCTTTAACTTACAGAATATCTGTATAATGAATAAATTATTATTTAAGTTGGTTCGAGTTTAATAATCGATATGTTAAATATCGTTTAAGTATAATTTACTAATTGATGGAGACTTCTCGTGAACATATTTGTAAATGTTGAAACCTTGAAGAAAGTTATCAAAATTTTTGGAATATATTACTGATTGCTATTATTTTAATTAAAATCAGCCAACTAATACGTAAATGCAAATAGGAAAAATCTCACTATACATAATGACGTATTGAATATGGTTAAACTAACAATTTTTTAACATTTATCTGAGAAATAATAGAGATATGTGAATTACATCAAATTTAAAAATATAAATTCTGAATTATGAAACCAAGAAAGTATCGAATATTTAACTTGTGAAATAAATTTAATACCAAAAACAAATAGACAAATGTAGTTA